AAAATATAGCCAGGGTTGGTGGTGGGCACTTGTAATCCTAGCTACTCGGGAGGTTGAGCCAAGAGAAGTGCTTGAACTCAGGAGGCAGAGGTTGCAGTGAGCCAAGATCACACCGCTGCACAGATGGGCAACAAAGCAAGACTCCATCTCAGGGGAAAAAAAAAAAGGAAAACATAGGTCAGAAGCTCAGATCTATATAAATGAAGAACATTAAAGAAGAAATAAATAAAAATAACAAACACTTTTATTTATTCATTTATTTTTGAGTCAGGGTCTCACTCTTTCACCCAGGCTGGAGCAGTGGTAACATTATAGATCACTGCAATCTCAACCTCCCAAAACTCAAGTGATCCTCAGCCTTAACCTCCCAAGTAGCTGGGACTACAGGAATGCACCATCATGCCAAACAATTTTTTTCATTTTTTGTAGAGATGGAGTCTCACTACATTGCCCAGAGTGGTCTTGAACTCCTGGGCTCAAGTGATCCTCCCACCTAGGCCTTCCAAAATGCTGGGATTACAGGCATGAGCCACAGCATCCTGGCCTGGCCTATTTTTCTTGTCTTAATTGAGCAACAATGTGTACACACACACGCACATGCAAGCGAGCGAGCCAAATGAATGGCAGCAATGATACAACCAGCCTTGAGAGAGGAACTGGGAATACAGCCGTCCTTCCGTATCTGTGAAGGACTGGTCCTAGGACCCTCTTCAACACCAAACTCCATGGATGCTCAAGTCTCTTATATAAAATGGTGTAGTATCTGCAACTAATCTGGGCACACCCTGCCCCATATACTTTAAATTGTCTCTAGATTATTAATAATACCAAATACAAAAGCTATGTGAATTGGTGTTATAATGTATCATTTAGAAAAAAAGACAATAATGTACATGTTTAGTACAGGCACAATGGTGTTTTCCTGGATATTTTCAGTTTGTGTTTGGTTGAATCCACAGACACAAAACCCATGGATACAGAGGGCCAACTATATTTTACCATTATAAGGTAGGTGGCACTACCCTTGAAGCAATATAATGTTATTTCAAAGTAGACTTGGAAAGGGTAAGTTTTTTTGTTGTTGTTTTTGTTTTTAAAGAAAAAAGCGGGGGAGGAGGGGGTGGAAGAGGAGGGAAAAGCGGAGGAAAAGAGAAAGAAAGGGAGGGAGAAAGAAAGAGGCTGGATGTGGTGGCTCACGCCTATAATCCCAGCACTTTGGAAGGCTGAGGCAGATGAATCACTTGAGCACAGGAGTTCAAGACCAGCCTGGCCAACATGGTGAAACCCCGTCTCTACAAAAACATAAAACTTGGCTGGGCGCAGTGGCTCACACCTGTAATCCCAGAACTTTGGGAGGCTGAGGTGGGCAGATCACCTGATGTCAGGAGTTCAAGATCAGCCTGGCCAACATGGTGAAACCTCGTCTCTTAAAAAAAATAAAAATAAAAAAATTAGCCAGGCGTGGTGGCAGGTGCCTGTAGTCCCAGCTACCGGGGAGACTGAGGTGGGAGAATAGCTCGAACCTGGGTGGCAGAGCTTGCAGTGAGCCAATACTACGCCACTGCATGCCAGCCTGGGTGATACAGCAAGGCTCCATCTCCCCCCCCCCCCCAAAAAAAAAAGGAGAAAGGAAAAGAAAAGGACAAAAAAAAGAGAAGGACAAAGAAATAGAGAAGAGAGAAGAAGAGAAGGACAAAGAAATAAAGTAGACTTGAATTACTTGTAAATCTATATTGCAAACTACAGGGCAATCACTGAAAAAGTTTAAAAACTTAAGCTGGCTGGGGATGGTGGCTCACACCTGTAATCCCAGCACTTAGGGAGACCAAAGTGGACGAACCACTTGAGCTCAGGAGTCCAAGACCAGCCTTTGAAACATGGTGAAACCCTTTTTTTTTTTTTTTTTAGACAAAGTCTCGCTCTGTCGCTCAGGCTGGAGTGCAGCGGCACGATCTCAGCTCACTGCAACCTCCTCGTCCAGGGTTCAAGCGATTCTTCTGCCTCAGCCTCCCAAGTAGCTGGGACTACAGGTGCCTGCACCACACCCAGCTAATTCTTTTGTATTTTCAGTAGAGACGGGGTTTCGCCATGTTGGCCAGGCTGGCTCTGTCTCTATTTTTAAACATTAAAAAAATTATTAAAAATTAAAAACAAAAAATATCCTTGATATGCTAAAAAAGGAAAAAAAGTGGCATCATATAAAATGCTCAGTTAAAACCACAAAAGGCAGAAAAAAGAGGAAGGCAAAAATAGGAAAAAGGAACAAGAGCAAAGAACAGACAATTAACATAAATATGATAGGATATTACTCCACCTACATAAATAACCATTTTCAGTGTTACAGATCTAAAGATACTAATGAAAAGACACACTCAGAGTGGATCAAAAACAAGATGCAACTTTATGCTATATACAAGAAATTCACTTTTAACTATAAAGATACACAGACTTAAAGTAAACGGATGAAGAAAAGATATAGCTTGCTACCAATAATCAAAGGAAAGAGGAACCTGTATTAATCTTAGAGAAAGCAGAGTTAGAGGAAGAAAAGTTAGCAAAGATAAAGAGGGGCATTAGATAAAACAAAGGTGTCAATTTTCCAAGAAAACACAACAATCCTTAACGTGTATGTGCCTAAAAACGGAGCATCAAAATACGTGAGGAAAAACTGATGGAACCATAGGAAGAGATCGGTAACTCCACTATAGGTTGAGTACCCCTTATTCAAAATGCTTGAGACCAAAAGTGCTTCACATGTCAGAATATCTACATATACAAAATGAAGTATCTTGGGAATGGGACCCAAGTTTAAACACAAAATTTAGTTATGTTTCATATAAACCTTCTACACTCCCTGAAAGTAATTTTCTGTAATATTTTAAATAATTTTGTGCACGAAACAAAGTTTATACTCATTGAAGTATCAGAAAGCAAAGGTGTCACTGGCTCAACCCATGTGGATATCTGTGTTTGTTATCGTCATCATTCCTAACACTGAATATATGTGCTACCAACAGCAGCCATCTCTTACACTAATTCACACACAAGCTCTTAACAGTAAAAAATATGGCATGCCGTTAATACAGTGAAAAAATAGTGTGTTCAGGATATCTAAGCCACACAGTAGCAGCACCAGAATATCTGTATCAACTGTTAACAGCAACAACGAACAACAGCTTGCCTTTGCTCTCTACCTACAATGCTGTTTTTTTGTGTTTGATTTTTTTGTTTTAGGTGAGAAAAAATAGCAGAAGCAGTTGAGGGACCAGGAAGTTGGTTCTTAGGAATGAGCAAGCATTCTACTGGACGGCTGTTTGAAGTTTCTCCTCCAGTCAGCCACTCATGAACAAGTCTTTTGTCTTTAAAGTCTCTATTTGTATAAGCTGACAAGATTCCTTGTTCTGTTACAAATGTACCCTGCTCTAGTCCTTCAGTAAGCCCATCACACATTTTCCCCATGTGGTCAACAGGCACTTTTTCTTTTGTATTAATGTCATCTTCATCACCCAATTGTGGCATCATGTAAGTTACTCAGAAAGTTTCGGATTTAAAATATTTCAGATTTTAGGTTTTTGGATTAGGGATGCCCAACCTATATTACAGTTATGGATTTTAACATCCTTCTATCAGTAAAGGCCAGATCCAGAAGGCATAAAATCAGTAAGGATACAGATGAACTCAACAGCACCATCAAATCCATTTGACTATGAATTTGATCTATGGTCAGAATGTATAGGCTACTTCGCCCAACAGCAGAATACAAACTCTTCTCAAGTTCACATGGAAAATGTACCAACACAGACCACATTATGAACTATAAAACACAGCTTCACAAATTTAAAAAACATCAGTATAGTATGCTGTCATACAACAACAGAATTAAACTAGAAATCAGCAACAGAAAGATGGCTGGAAAATCTCAAAATCTCAAAAATGGAGATTAAACAACATATTTCTAAGCACACGGGTCAAAGAAGAAACTGCAAGAGAAATTTAAATATATTTTGAACAAAAATGAAAACATAACTTACCAACATTTGTAGGATGCAGCAAAAGCAGTGCTTACAGAGAAATTTATAGCAATTAATGCACGTAACTAGGAAAAAAAAAAAAAAATCTTTTTTTTTTTTTTTTTTTAATTAGGGCCGGGCCCCGCTTTTTTACCC